TGAGTATCATTGAGAGGAAGATAAATAGCTCAGGAGAAGCCACAATATTTTACTTGGCTTTCACTCACAGAATCCATAAATCTGTTTTGATTTTGGAATTATCAAGTCTTCTTTGCTCATTATAGATTTCATTACAAAATGTCCTGTTCATTTATAAAGCTTTCACAATTTTTATAATAATTACTTCTTTCCTTGTTTACGTGGTATACAGTGATCAGTTTTGCATTACAAAATTGGAACTTAAATTGTCATCTAATAAGTAATGTATAGCGCTTACAGAGCAGTCTGAGCTCCTATGTAAGTACAAAAATTAGGTTATATTGCTACTATTAGGCTACACTATGTGAGTTGGCTACATTTTTTTTTTCAATGATGCTGAACTAGCATCTGCAACTGAATCTAAGGTGTCACATGATGAAAATTTTAATAATGCTGAACTTTTTCTATATATAACATAAATTTGAACTCTGATCCCTTGGGGAGATGATGTTTTGAGGGGTAACACAACCACATACTGGTTTGGCAAGTCTGCAGTTATGGTATAGTTGCTTGAACCAGCAACTCTGGTGAATACAGATAGATGGTAAGCTGAATACCTACTGATTTCTCCTGAAGTTTATGTTATTTTCTAGTATCTTGGCATTTTATTGTATTTTTACCTACCCCCTTAAAAAAAAAAAGTCTGTTAAAAGTCTTTTTTTTTTTCTGTACTCTCTGTATATGTTTAAAATGCTACTGTTTATATCTCAGTTTCCTTATCTGCTTGTATTTTCAGCTGTCTTATGTTATGTTTATAATTTCTCTCTTTCCTGATTTATCTGTTTAGCCATTTGAAGGCCATCTGGCTTGAGTCTGTTTTTATTCCTCGGTATACATTTATTTACCTTGCAGATTAATGTTACTGTTCTATGCTGAACCATTATTCTCTGAATTTCCAGTAATCGTTATTAGTGACATTTGTTAAGTTATGTTGGCAGTTTTCCAGCACAACCCTCTCTTTAAACAAAGCTACTGATTCACATTATTTAATATCTAAAAATAGTATTTCAACTCCTTCCAGCTATTCTGTGTCACCATAAAGAATCCATCATTCTTTAACTGTTGAGTGCCTGTAACATATTTTTCATGTGTATGTTTACTGTTTTATATGTTCATATTATCTTTCAGTTATTATTGTTTGCATGCTATATTTTCTTCATTAAAGTAGCATTTAATTTCTGCATGAAATCTGTCCTGGAGTCTATAGGATAATTTATTATGATGATTTGTAATATGCCAGAAAATATCACTTGCACTTTTTGTGCCTTTCATTCTAATTGCTAATTCATTAATCCTCAACTTCAAGTGCTCTGACCTTTTATTTCCAATGTCATTTCTCCTAAGCTGAATAAGCAGCAGCAGGTGTCTCTCTAACAAGTGACTAACCGTGTCTCTCTTGTTGCTTGAACCTCTGTTTTTCACTTCAAGCAAACTGAATGTATTTATAGAGTTACAGAACCTCTCTGCAAGTTTTTGTCTTGCATATCAATGTAATTCATAATGTAAATTAACTCACTTAAAGATGACAGTTTGCGTGTCTACTTAGTCACTCTCTAATAAAGACTGTATATGATAATCCCATGGAAAAATGTACAAACAGATCCTAACTCCGAGTAAATGAAACTTCAGATAGAGTGCAGCAGAAATTATTGCAGAAAGCCATGAAAAAATGCCAGGGAAATAATAAAAAAAACCCCACAGTCATTTAAATGTCAAAGAAATCCTACGCCAGAAATGATGAGATAGATGCCATATTGTATTATTTAAATTTTTATAATATTTGAGCAATTTCTGTTTGTTTTTTTAATGAAAAAAAAAAATTTGTTTATTTATTTAATTTTTTATTGCATTTATTTAATTGTATTTTATTGTATTGTAGTTAATTAATTATTGTAGCTTAACAGGAAATGAACAATATTATACAAAGCTTTAGGTGACTCTATGCCAAACCTAGTTTCACTAGTAGCAAATAAGTTTTTCAAATTAGTTATTACATATACTTACATACTAGGCAGAACAGAACTAAATTAGGATCTAGTGCATAACAGGACTGCTAACATTTTTGTTCCTCAGATTTGTGACAATATTTTGGGGTAATATAATATGTATTAGCCATTCTTTTATAATTATGGCATGTGTAAACCATTGCATGATATATAATATTTTTGAAATATGCATAATATAAAAACACTTCTGGTTTTATTTCATATATGATGGAATTCTCTAAAAAGACCATTTTTTGTTATTGTTTATAATAATTATAAAAAATTAATTAAATCCGCAGACAATGGAATTTTTAACAATTCATTGAGAATTTCAGTATGTGGATTCTTTTTAAAATATAGTCCTTGTGATGACTGCATCAAAATGCACCTGGAGGGGATGAGTGTACAGGAGGTAATTTTCCTGTTTAGTAACCATCTCTGGTACAAAAATACAATTTTTGGGAAAAAAGAGTGTAGTAACGGCAAAGAAGAACAGTAACATTTGAATTAATTTAAGTACTGTTAGTTTGTTTATTTATTTCAAGGGGGGGATCCTTTCTTTCCTGAACCCTGAGCCACAATATCTACACTGTCTTGTAAATATTGTCTTTGGTAGTTTGCCCTTTCTGTGAATCTCACTCTTCTAACCATTTGAAGAGCCCTTTGTGAAAGACTCTGCTAGAGTGAAGTGACAAGAATTAAGGCTGAAATGTTCTTCTTGTTGTAGCTTATTGTCATCCGTCTTCCCTCTAAGTTTAGTTTCATGGTCCACTGCCTCTAGTCCTCTTACATGTGTAACTGTTGATTAAAACAAAGTTGGTGTGAAATACTTTAGTGAAAGTGTGTCCTATAAATCAACAGATAAAAACTTTGTGACTGTTTTGAATGGGTACTCATACCCATTAAATATAATCCAAGCTGGTATAGCTAATTGAGAATGAGTTAGAAAAATTCCTAGGATTACTAAACTTGAATCAAAGGAAATAATGTAAATTAGCTAATTACAGAGTTCCTGATGGTCTTGGTAGTAGTATTTTTCCTCGAATAAACATTAAGAGAATAACAAAAGAGCAAACAGAAAACAATACAGAAAGTCAGTTCTAGACACTACTTCATTGATCAAAAGATATGCTCCATCCTATTTAAAAGCCATTACAGAAAGGATTCCCAATGTTTTTGGCTAGTTGAATTCATGTAGCAAGTTATTTCTGCAGTAGTGGACAACAGGCGAATTTCCTCTGTGGAACCTTTTGCCCCCTTTTTTTTTTGTTTTGTTTTGTTTGTTTGGTTGGTTTTTTTCAATTTTTTTCAGATCTAGATCTCTAGGGAGATGATCTTGTTGGTTGCTAGATCAGGACCCTCCTCTAAAGACTTGAGAGCTTTTACTTGACACAACCATTAGTTACCACAGCTGTTAAAGACTTTGCCAAGAAAGTATTAGCCATGCTGACTATGAAATGTTACTGTCAGTAAAATGAATCGCAGTAAACCGCCTGTCTTTCAGTTACTTTTTGTTGCTGAATAATAAATACTGAGAAGTGATTCAGCAGTTGGAAACAAATGTGTAATTTGAGTCACTGTCATCATGTTACTTTATTATGTTAACAAAGTAACTGCTACAGTTGCATGTATAGATCATATTGTTAACAATGAATCTTAAATGATACAAATCAGGGTCCCACAAATAAGCAGGTGTGACATCTAAACTCAGCTATCTAGTCTGGACTTGTTTTGAACTTTATGGTATGTTACTTACATTTGGCAAAGGTAGTAATTTCTAGTAGCAACTTTCCAAGACCTGTGAGGAAGTTATTAAGAAGATTCATCCAGGCTCTTCACAGTTGTGCCTGGCAGGAAGATGAAAGATAATTGGCATAAATTGAAATCCTCCAACGATAGAAATTGCATAACCTCTGTAAGCAATCTGCTCTACTGCTTGTCTGTAGAACCTTTTTCACTATGTCGATATACAAGCAGTGGCACAGGTTATCTAGAAAGGTTATGTAGTCCCCGTCCCTTGAGGTTTTCAAAACTGACTGGGTGAATCCCAGAGCAACCTAGTCTGATTATGTAGAAGACCCTGCTTTGAATAAGAGATTGGACTAGAGGCATCCTGATGTCTCTGCCCACCTGAATTGTCTTATGATACCATAAAAGGTAGTAGAAAAACAATTTATATCAAAGTACCATAAGTGGCTAGTTAGGCAATAAAGCCTAATAAAAAGTCCTAGTGGTTTTAAAAGAACATGAAGATCTTCTGTCAAGATCAAAAGCTTTCCACGAGGTATAAAATATTCTGTCAAGTAGCAGCATGCACAAGCCGGGTAAGGATAGATCACAAGCTTAAAGGCAAACTACAGATCTTAGTTTTTCAAATCAGTGACAGGGAAATGTACTTCTGTGACCAGGAATAATGCATAAGCTCTCTATGCATTAAAAGCCCATGAGATGGGTTTCAAGAGTTGAAACTGGGCATTAGCCTTTCTTTGTTTAGTTTAGGGATGCATTTTTTTCCAAAGGGAACGTAGCTGAAATTCAGCTTGCAGGTTAATAATCCCAAAAATTTTAGGTGGCTGAAGAACTTCACATATTGACTTAGGGTCTTGGGCTGAAGAGCAGCCTCCATTTACACAGACTAAATAGTTCCATTATTACAGCGGAATATTCTGTAGTTGCATAATCTAATAAAAAATAACTATTAGCCATTTTGTGGTTGCTGTATCTAGATTGTGTTTAAATTTTTCATTCCTTTGAATAAAATAAGTGAGACAAAATTTTTATAAGAAAACGATCATCAAAAGAAAATTCAATCAGTGTTTATTTTTCCTTTCCCTGATGTTATTAGTAGAAGCTATTAAATACTTTCGATAAATACTTCCTTCATGTAAAGTTTGTGTTTTGGCTAATCTGATTGTCTGCTTCAACCTCTTTCTTCTGACTTATCGCCTTTTTCTCTTTTTGTATTTCTGTTAACAGAAAGCTGACCTTGCAGTTGCGCCATTGGCAATTACGTATGTTCGAGAGAAGGTCATCGACTTTTCCAAGCCCTTTATGACTCTTGGAATAAGTATTTTGTACCGCAAGCCCAATGGTACAAACCCGGGCGTCTTCTCCTTCCTGAATCCTCTCTCCCCTGATATCTGGATGTATATTCTGCTGGCTTACTTGGGTGTCAGTTGTGTGCTCTTTGTCATAGCCAGGTAACATGTCAACTTTTGTGATTTTTTTGGCAATTGTTATAATCTTTTTTTTACTAATAATTGTCAAAAGTCACAAAAATTTTCTTACTTTCATACTCTTATATATAACTTCATGATGTACAGAAGAATAATTAATGATGAGGCTTCTCACTATTTTCTCCACTGCCATACTAATTCTGCAGTTTGTCACTAAGTCTTGAGTATGCTAGCTAGATTTCTCTTTTTATTTACAAGTTTAGAGATACTAGACAGTTTATGGAATGTCTTTTCCCAATTGTGCTGTGTTTAGGAAGAGAGGGGCTGACATATTTTATTTTATTAGTCTGATTTCATTTGATGCTTAATCTCAAATTGAGTACTTAGCTGCCCATGTTAATCCTAGATGTCCAAATTGGGCCTCTACCCTTTACAAAAAAAGAAGATAGTTTACATAGATTAGTATTTTCGAAGTAGGTTAACAATATTTAGTTTTTAGTTGTGTACTGGGTAAAATACCTGAGATACCTCACATGATTCAAAGTCACAGATTGAAATATATTAGGAAGCATGTTTAGTTGAGTTTTGCAGTTAACACATTAACTGGAAATTGTGTTGCAACTCAACACAATTGTTAAATTATAAATTCATTGATATGTAGAAATCACATATTTATCTGTTTTCTTCAATACATACAAGCAGGAAATCATCTTTTGCCAAAAATTCCCATTATGTTTACCTTTTCTTTATTAGGTAATTAGAACTGACTCCAGATGCTCACAGAAAAATAGTATTACATGTTGAAACTTAAATTTTTCCTGTAACAGCAACAACAACAATCAGAACAGTAAATCAGTGATTTCCAGGGGTGTAAATCTAATCTCTTTTGCAAATTTTTCCTAGTAGTAACTTTTAAATACTATTTTTGGTCAAATACATGTAAACTATATTGGCGCTTTTCCCTTTAATAAGGTATTTTTTTGTCTATAGCAGTGATTTTTAGAAGCATATGTTTGCCTTGATAATGCAATCTCACTTCAGCCCTAAGATTTTTGTGATTTCATTCTGTGGTACACAGAACGTTCATATTTTTCTTTTGCTGTTGTGCTGCGGTTGATATCAGGTTTCTCCGTCTTTCTTTGATACTATTCACTTCATTTTGGAGAAGTTGTATCATTCCTCTATGAAGGGGAGACGTAATATTTTTAGAAACTGGTTTAAATATAATGTAGCAAAATCACGTGTACATGAAGTACATGAAGTTTTGAAGTAATGTAGATAACACTGAAACATAGTCTGTAATGAATAACTATACTTGTGTGCCTTCTTTAAAAGTCTGATTTAAAGAGTCAGACTTAAGTTGAAAGTTTCTTGAAAAAATCAGTGGGCTGTTTTAGTGGACTATATGACCAGAGAGTAATCTAATTTCTGAGGTGTACCTGTGATACAGGTACTTCTGAAAGCACAGTTGAGCATAAATACAAATGTTATCTTGTGAAACACGTCATGTGAAATATTTATGTATATATCCAAAAGTTTTAGCCCTATTATATCACTGAAGAACATTTTTGTCATAATACACAGTGCTTTTGTCAGGCAGCTTCCAGTAATGTTAGTAGGAATTTTATGGCTGAGTTCTTACTTATGCTTTGATAATGTGTCTTGTCTTATTTTGTAGGAAAGATACGTTTTCTCGAAGCCTATTTTTTAAGTAAGCTATTGAGTCATTTAATCTCACTAGCAAAACTGGAAAGAATGTTTATTTTTAAACAGAAGTGCCACATAATAGACCAGTATTGCTGAACTTTTTTTCACTTGTCTGTTTTTGTGACCAGCACCATAAATTCCTTATCAGTGTAAAGCAATATGAAATACATTTTATACCGAGCAGAGGAGTTTGGTCTTTTGTAGAGTTGTATAAAATACCTTTTTTTTATGGCTAAATTTATATCAGCCTTCAGATTTAGAGATTTTCAACACCTCCTAACTTGTACAATCAAATATTAATAACGCATTTAGAAATAAAAGATCTAGGATTATGTAAGAAAATCTACAGATTTTAGTCATAGTGCAGAATGACTTAATAGTATGTGATAGCATTTCTAACAGTACAGTTCATATAGGGAAACAGGTCTACGTTAAAAATGTAATCTGCTGAATAATAAAGAGAGAAAAAATACTATTCAGAAGTAAAAGAGCTTTTTGCTAATCTAATTCACAAAAATGTATCTGTCATGTAAAGGGACATACTGCTAACTGAAGTGTGGTTAAGAGGACTTTGCAGCATAGTGCTGACTATGTATTTCCAGTACAGATTATGTTAGGTATTGCACAGCTGATGATACGTGTTTCAGTCCTGGTGTCATGAAACTGTTGGACTGTATGTCACGAAATTAATACCTTCCACCTAGAGTTAAGAAGATTTCTATTTCATAACAATCGTTCCATAATGAATGTTTAACAACCAGTGTTTCATAATAATTACTATGTGTTTCATAATAAGGTGTATCTGTGTCTGGAGCAGTACTTAGTATGTCTTTTATGATATGATGTTTTGTAATTACAGCTCATCAGAGTATTCAGTATAAAATATTTATTTTTAGGTTTAAATTTCTCATTTTTATGTCAAATGTTTCGTGATTTTATCATTTTACCACGTCTTCCAAACAGTGTTGGAATGTAAGATCTTGGTACACTGAAAATAGAAAGTACAGTTCTGTTATGGTACTTGGATTTCACCCATTAATTGGTGGCACAATCTGTTTAGGGAAAGATGAGGACGTTAGGAAAAGGTTCAAGAATCTTTGAGAGGAAATTGCTTAAAGGACCTTTATTGAGTAACATACCAGGCATAAATGGGGAAAAAGGTTATATAAATCTTTATTAGTCTTTTCCTTTATTTGAAAGAGCATTGGATTTTCCTTCCAATTTGAGAATCAGATGTAAAGAGCTGGAATCATTGCATATCAACAAGACAAAAGCTGGGAGAGAGATTTATTGGAGGGCTTTTCTATGTCATTTTCCTCTTGTAGTGCCCCTCAAAATGATCAGTTATCTATTTATGTAGGCATTACAGATTTTGCATTGTGAATGAACATGTATGTGTTGTACACAGTGTTTTCTTTAATTATCATTCTTTGTGGGGAATTACAGTAGGCTGTGAAGTCTCCATATATATGAAAACCTGTTAAGCTTGTTTGTTGTGATTTTTGAATCTAAGTAGTTATGGTGGTTAGTCTGTGAAAGTTCCTTTCTTTGTTCTATGGGCTGATGACTGACAGATAAACCCAGTCTGCTTGACACTAAGCCTATTACTTTTTTGTGAACTGAGAGAGTCATATACCATTTTTTTTCACTTGTGACAACATAATAGATCTGTTTCTGATGCTAGCTAGCAGTGTCTTTGTGTCACTGCTAGCACTGTCTTGTGTCATCTGATGTCTTGTTCCATTCCAATTCCAATATCTTCCCTTTTTACCTCTGCCTTCACTTGTTTCTTTCATTTAGAATCCCTAGAATCCTAGTTAAATTCACAGTTTACCTGTGATTAGAAGGAAAACTAAAACTGGGCTGAAGTGCGCCAACTCCTTTTTTGGAGTTCTGTCAAGTACACAACATTTTCTGATATGTATAATTAAAAATCTCAGTTAGTGCAGTTTCTTTTTCATTTCTGTCTGTTAGTGCAAATGATTGTTTCATTTCTAAGAAACTTGCTGATTTCTGTTTGCTGTGAACATGTCTGTCTGTCACAAAGCAGTTTACTGTTAAGTGACCTATCTTCATAAGTGGAAGACATACACCTTAGCATGATGCTTCACCTTTATTGATCAGCTGTGAAGCAAATAAAGTACCCTGGATAAAATGGCCCACTAATGAGCTCTTCCAGTTAATATTGTGTAAATATACATTAAACTGTGCTCACTACCCTGATTGCTAATATTGAAACTTGGATTATAATTTTAAAAGGCTTGATTCACCTTTACTTGTACTATATTCTCTGTGTTAGGATTTCCTGCTTTTTCCTCCTTTCAGCAGAATTATGCTATCCAGCTTCTTGGAAGTCAAGTCTTTGTGCTGTTTTCAGCTGTCAAAGCATTTAGTATCAGCTGTTTTTCCATTTCCTTGTAAGCAGTGATAGATGAACATTGCCTCATCACCAAATTATACTTTTATCCTACCACCTGGAATAAAACATAATAAAAGAAGACAAGAGTTTTAAAATTGTCTCCACACATTTATCTTAATCTTTTTTCTGTGAAGTAGCTTAGGAATAGTCTTCTCCATCACACTTGAACAGACGCCTGAGCATTTTCTGTCTCTGGATTGCATGTTTATCCTTTTACATCTCATCAGTCTTCATTTTTATTTCATATTTCTTGATCAGCTGATTTCTTTCCTTGAGCTTTTCTGATTGATTTTCAATCTACTCCTTGAAAACTATCTTGATGAAAAGGAATTAATGACAGAATGAGAAGGAACTACTTACAATTACTATGGAGTTCTGGTTACAAAATTACTATGTTGATATTTATTCAAGTAGGAAGTTAGCATATTTGCCCTTTATTCTTAACAAGCATTGTTCCTACGAGAATTTTCTCTCCTGAGGCCTCCCTAGAGAACTACAACATATGTTATGAGGTGTTTTCAGGAATGGATTCATCATCCAATAGGACAATCCAGATGGCAGCCCTGAAATCTGCTTCTCTGACTCTCTTACAGTTTTAAGATAGTTTTGCTTCAGTTATAACGCAAAAATTCAGTTTTGCCTCAATTGTAACACAAATAGGGATATTGTTACTTGACTATAAAATATTATGTAAATAGACAAGAATAAAAGTATGCCAAAAATGACACACTTTCCAAAGCTGTTCCATAATAATTATTTTGAAGTCAGGGATTTTTTATTTCTGTTAAACCAAGTTGCAGCTTATGACCCTTAGTTGAATGTTTCCAAAAGATTCAGTGTAGCCCGCTTCTTTTCATATCATTTTTCTGTTTGAAAAGGAAATCCTTGTTAACGCTAG